CATATACTTACACAGTTTCTCAGTAGATACCAGATCCGCCAGCTTCTGCATCTCCTGTGGCTTTCTGCAGCTGGTGAGACAGCAGCGTTGTGCCACACGTGCAGACATGCAGGAGCTGTGAGAGGGACAACTGGAAGAGCAAGTCTCAGGGCTTCTAAAGTCTGCAAGTCGTGGCATTGTTTTGTTCTGTATGAAGAGCAAGTGCCTGACACTGCAGCGTCACCTCCCCCTCGGGTTTAGCAAACCCTTGTTCTTTCCTGTCCCTAGGTTCTGTGAGAGCTTAGCAACTTCCTCTGGAAAAGCATTACTTGCAAGAGGCAGTCTGCATAGTGCACTTCCCAAACTGGGTCTGGGGAAGGGAAAAAGAAACAGCAAACGTTCTCCCTAAGCAGCAGCAGGAAAAGGGGTACACGCATCTTTCTGCAGCTTCCTCTGGACAGATAGCTCATAGGATCTCCTGGCCTGGATGGTGAATCTGCATTTAATGCTGGTGCTAAATAAGCTGTTCTTATGTCCCACAGCTGGGAGCAGAGGGAAGAAGGGAAGACTCAGAATGGAGTTGGAGGTCTCTCCTCTCTAACCCTCCCCTTTCCCAGCAGTAATGGAGTAGGTGAGTCAGTGAGGAATCACAGAATCACTCATGTTGGAAAAGACCTTAAAGATCATCGAGTCCAACCACAGCCTAACCATACAACCCTAACTCTCACAGCCCTCTGCTAAATCATGTTCCTGAGCAGGAATGCCAAGGAGAAGCAGAGCTCTGAAGTCTGCAGAAGCTTGATGGCTCATAACAGAACTCTGAACCAACTCCTCCTTGGTACTGAACACACTGCAGCGTGTGCGGGCTGGGAGGGGAGGCAGTGAGTCAGTGCAGGAGCACCAGAGAGTCTGACTCAACAGCCAGCACAGCTGTTCTCTGAACCACTTTGGCCTGAAATGTGTTCCAGTGAGCACTCTCTTGGATTGCCTTTGTGTTTGCTTACAGTTTTTTTCCTCCATCTTGACGTCATTTCTCTGCTGCTTCTTTGCTTCAGTAAAAAGGGCACTGAAATAGTTGATTAACTGTTATTTGTTAATAGCACTGCCTGTTCAATCCCTGCAGATCAATGAAAGTACTGACCTGAAACCATTCAGGAAATAGGGGTGGGCAGCGCCATAGCACAGGATGCAGCGGAGACTTCAGGGTGGTTGTTTAACCAGCTCTGTCTGCTGGAATTGATAAACTGTAGCCTGAGCCCAGCACCCTCTTTGAGCTGGCAGTCGTTGAAGGGCACATCATCACCTCCAGACTGCCCTTTTCTGGTGCCAGCACACGTCTTTGTGCAATGGACTGGATTAAGGAACCGCTCTAGCTGAAACAATCCTTTTCAGAGGTGCTTGCTCCAAGGCCGGTTCACTGCACAGCGCTGCACACCATGTGCCAGCACACAGAGGGAGGCTCCTTCCTCACCCTGTGGTGCCTGATTTAAGTGTTTGCTGAGCTGTAGTGCTATCTGCTAAGTTGCCTGATTTTCTTGCAGTCATTAACTGCTTCCAGTGGTTAGGAACTGCTGAGGATTTTCTCTATGGGCAAACAACATGCCTTCCTTTACTGCAAAGCAGTGCCTTCAGTGCTGTAGAACCTCACTCCCCTTTTTCAGCCAGTAAAGTCATTACACACCAAGGCAATTAACAAGAGCAGAAAGTAAACATGGATGATTCCTGGCTCTGCTGCTGACCTCGGCTGCTCATCAGCAGCCCATCCTCCCTCATCGAAGGACTGTCTGCTGTCTGCTGTTCGGTCATGTGGTGCAGCTATGTAAAAATGTAGAGGCTGTCCAGAGAGCTGGCTGCCTGTTCAGTTCAAGGGGTGTCACTGTCTGACTCTGAAAGGAACAGTCTTTTACAGCACAGCATCTCCTGTACACTTGCTGTGGGCCAGGCATAAATTACTTAAGATACGTATTTCCAGGCAGGTTTTTCTTCCTTTGTTCACTGCCACTTCTGGCTTGCTCCTGGCAGCCCTCGCTGGGACACTGCCCTGCCTGACAGTGAGTGTCCCAAACAAGCCCTTGCTTGAAAGAAGGGGGAGCATGCTCTCGTCTGAACATTGGTTCAGCTGCACATTCACACTATGGGTATACAAACGTCCAAACTGCTTCTGTTGGGGAAAATGTAAGATCCTCAGCACATGTACTAAGAGGAAGCAAAACTGACATCCCAAAAAGATGCTTTGTCCATAAACCTTGAAAAGGTATCTGACATGATGCCAGAATATGTGAATCCTTGTCCCCCTGAGGATGCTGGGGACAGAATGAGGTTCACCAGTTCCTGCAGCCTAAAAGACAGATCTTTCTCTAAAGCAGAAGTCTCTGCTTTCTAAAGCTGTTACTCTTTTCTCCTCATGTTTGTTGTTCTTTTTTCCCCAGGCTTTCCCACCAGCATGCTTACTCCTGAAGTGGATTTTCTCTCCTTCTTTGGGTCCTGATCTCAAGGGGAAATCTTAATCAAGCACTGTCTTTCTGGGCGCCTTTTGATCTCAAATGATGATACAGACTGGCAATTTCTTCCCCTCCTTTTTTTTCCTGATAAGTTACAAGTAAGATTCATACTAAATTCCTGCTAATGGTTCTTTATGATTTGTGATGAATTAAGGGAGTAATCTAACTTTCTTCTTTTTTTTCCCCTTTATCCCAGAAGGATCTCTCTCCCTTGTGTCCTCCTTACACCAACGAGATCAGTTGGAAGGAGTCTTGAAAAGTAATCTTAGTTTTGTCAGTCATGAATTCTGAGAGGCATAAAAGTATTGTACAGCCTTAAGGAGGCCAGTTTGGAACAAATAATGACTTCCTTGGCTTGTAGCCTGCTCCCAAGTACCATGTGTTATGACAGCATTTTGTCAGGTTAATGGAAAAACACCGCACGGCTGATCTCTAGGGCTGCCCAGGAAGATGTGTGCATGTGATACTGAAAGACCTGCAGCTTCCCAGGAGACAGACCATCCAGGTTCAGAAAGGTACTTGAGGATTATGGAAACTTACTGCCTTGTTAATGTGCTGGCACTGCTCACCCTTCCTGCGCAGGCTCACCCCACAGCAAGAGTGTTCGCAGGGCCGAAGAGACCGCTCAGTGCTGTGCTCCCTTCAACACCTGTAATTTAAAAGCAGGCAAGCAGCTGAGCACACACTGGATACGTAAAAGATAACATTCAAAACACAGCTGTCTAGTGGGGCATGTTCCACAATCAGTCTGTCCCTAAACGTAGCAGATGTCCCAGACCCAAGAGCTTGTACTGTTCCCTTGTTTTAGGACAGGGCTCCAGCACCAAGTACATGTTCTGTTTGTAACAACACAGGGCAATTATTTATGGGCTTTCTTTGGGGAGTGTGCCTGGTGCAGAGGAAATAGCCAGGCAGGCTGCTGCAAACACTGCCTATTTCCTATCATACTTAGAAGAACCCAGAACCTGAAAAACAGAATGATCATCCAGATGCAACATTGATAGTGAAAGTTAGACCTTTTCCATTTACTTACTGTTCCCTAATCTTTTGGAGCAGCCAAGGGGACCAGCGATAGCTTGATTTAAATACATGACTGCACCAACAGTTCACCTCTGGTTTTGAGTGTGAATTGGAGTGAACTGGTAAAACACTGGAAAGTAATTGGCATCTCAGGACACAGCAGCAGGTCTGTGTGGCTGTGAAAGCCACTTGCCATTTGGATAATATATTACGCTTACTGCCCTTATGTCTTCTCTTAACACAACTGCCACGGCAGGTAATGAAGAGAAGGACGCTGCGTTGCTCTGATCGTGGAAGAGAGAACGAAGGCGCAACAAGCTGTTGTTTTTTGCATGGTATGAGAATGAGGCTCAAAGGCGGTTCGATGAGGATCTGTCACGAGAGCATCGCAGAAGTCTTCATCCAGCAGCTGCTCTGCTTCTGTGTCAATTTATTTGAAAAACAAACAACAAATTAAAATAAATGCCTCATGCTATTCACTGGCTGCTCAGTGCATGTTTTGGGGAACAAACAATTTGTTGTCTAACAGCTAGAAATAGCTGGAGGGAATGCCAGCTCGCTTGTGCTGCTGCCCTGGCAGGCATTTTGCCAGCTATGGCTCACTGCAGCCTGCTGCCACCCTCATCTTGGATACATGTTTGCAGTGTCTCCAGAGGATGCAAATACTCCTATTTTCTCATGGACAAAACAAAGCGCTAAAGAAAAAATGCAGCCAGCAAGCATGTTTCACTGCTGGTGTCTTTTTCAGCACCCAGAGCAGAACAAGGAGCCCCAGCAGCTGCAGAGGAGGGACAAACCTGGATACACTGTGGAGACCTACTTAAGGGTTGGGTCAGTGGGGACCTTACAGGGTCAGAGCCTACCCACCCTTGCAGAGGCAGCCCTGTCTGCCTTTGTCTGTGGGCTAGCTGATGCTGATCTCTGGAGAGATACACAAATATGAAGTATCGTGTTGATGGCGAATAATGCTGACTGGCTTTGTCCTTACCCTGGGGATCTGAATGAACGTTTAAGGACTGTTCTCTGAGATTCACCAACCAAAATTCAAGCTCCTTTAATTTATCCTCTCAGGCTGTAACATGGCCTTTGTCGTGTTAGTCACAGCGTGACATTTTGCTGACGGTGTAATCGTAGGGCCACAGTCAGTGGTAATGTCAGGCTGAAAAGGTTAGGGCCTTTTTGCCTTTTACCATTGTTCCTCTTCAAGTAATTTCTCTGCTGAGGAACTGAGAGAGGCTGGACCTTACAGGGGAGCTTTGTGGTCCCAGTTTCAGCTCTCATTTCTCACGTACTGGGGCCTGACCTGCCCAGGCACAACGTTTTGTGCCAGTTATCGTTTCTTAGGGCAGCAGGGCTGCACTGTTCTCCCAGTCCCATTAGGACTACCTCTGAATTCTGTTCAGGAGACACAGGCAATCGTTCACTCAAATGCCACTCACATCAAATGAAATGTCTACTCCAGAAAACCCAAATATTTCTTTTTAAAAATACCCACCTAAAGTCATTGAAACATAATTATTAAAACCTTTTATGTTTTCTCTACAGGACGATGTAAAGTGTTCCTTTCAGTTAAATTTTGAAATACACTAGATTACATCATTTAAATAATTGCATTTTAAGTTCACTATTAGTGGTAGCAGAGCCATATTTACATACAGTTCTGAAATATTTGAGATGCACTGTAACGTCTCAGTCTCTGAGTCCATTAAATACAGACTTCCACTGGGGGGATACTGCTCTTCCAACGCTCTTTACATGTATTTGGGGTGCACACGGGAGAGAGCAAGAACCCCTTTTAGCATCTGACCTTTTTCGTGTGCTGTGGGCATGCAGCTGGATCAGAGTAAATTAACTCCTACTCGACTCCTACTTGACTCGGATTAAATATGAAAGACCTTTTAAAACAAGTACTGTGACTGAAGATACAATTGAAAAATGAAATACAGTCCTCAGGAGTAGCAATGGAAAATATTTTCTCCGACTTTCCTCCTCTTCTGCATAATACTGCACCGAATGTTGACCCTGACTTTACCTATAATGAAATATAGTCAGTGGTAGAAACCTCTCTCATGTTATCAAGACTGGCTTTCAACAGAATTCATGCAAATGCAAGCATCACACATCATTCTCCCACAGTGCAATATTAACAAGTTAAACTCATTGTTTTCCTCCAGAGGTCTGCTCCTCAGCAGGCCCCTCTGTGTATGTACATCAGCCACAAACAGGCTCTGAGTCCTGAGGCTGGAGACCGGGATCAGGCTGTAACCTTGGTTCCGGCGCCGCTCAGTAAGCAGTTCATGCATCAGACTCCTTTCCGTGTTGTCCACGAAGCAGAGCAAATTCAGGCCACCCAGGCTCTCAGGGTCCTCGCACGTGGCTCTGGCCGAGCCCAGTGTCACTGCGTGCTGCCCACACGGGTCTCAGGGCCTGGTGTGAGGCGTGCTGATCATGATGTTGGGCAGCGCGTTCCGACGCTTCTTCCAGGAGCCCAACTCCCGCGAGTACCGCCGGATCTGCCGGAACCAGTGGTGAGTCCGTGCCCGGTCGCTGTCACGGAACACAAACGCCTCCCTCCTGATTTCAATGAGTTCAAAAGTGTCGTCACAGTCAGGATCAGTGGAGACAATGCAATTACTCAGCCTCAAGGGCTCCCTGAGCAAATGGAACTTCCCATTATTTTTGTCCCTGATGAGTACCAGCACGGCATCCTTCACAGGCCCGGGCTCAGCTGACTCCAGGCTGGACTCAGACACACGTTTCATATTCACCAGGAGGAGGACCTGCATGTTCTGAAACTTCAGGGTCTTACTGCCTTTCTTTACCCACTGGCCGTCAGGGGGCTGGGCCAGCTGCAGAGACCCCTCCATGACAAATCGTGTTTCCTCCCGCAGCCATCCCACAGTTTTGAGGGCAGTTTCCCTCATTTCAATGTTGATGACTTCCCTCTTCTTCTTGCTGTCTTGGCGAAAGGAGCGGAGGGTCCACGTGTTTCCCTCCTGCTTGGTTTTCATGTTGATGTGCTCCAGGTGGGACTCGATGCGGCTCTTGGCCTCCCGCAGGCTGCCGTGATCTGGGTGGTACTCAGTGGTGGCCTTGATGATTCTGCTGAGCAGCAGTGGGTACTTTGTGACCCTTTGCAAGGGGGCCATCAGAAAGGACCTCAAGTTCATCCGTCGCAGTGCTGTGTTGTCATTCTGGGACACGTTGAGGAATATTCTGCAGGGATTTAAGAAGAAGGAATGAAATGGTGGCTGTTTTGTCAGCAGATGCTGCAATCCGAAATGCAAAGGAGCAGCGAGATGCTGACAGCTGCTGAGTGCTGCTCTGGTTTTAGCAGCCTTGTGAGTTCTGTCTTTTCAAAAATTAAAAATGTCTGCAGCCACGCTCAGCTGCAGAACTACGACAAGGGGTCTGGTATGCTAGAATGTAATATCTTAGCAGTCATCTGTTAATCACTGTAAAACAGTGAGGGTGTGATCTTTCTCTGGTACACACTGACATTGGCCCAAGGCAGATACATCAGCTTATATCAGGTTACATAAATTTGTAGGTTCTTTCATCATTCGATTGCAAAGCGCTCTAAACAAGAATTTGGTTCTGTCATCATTTTATAGCTGTTGCAGTGGACACAGAGAAATGACTCACCGCGCAGGCTGGGGCTAGAAATGGGAAACATTCAAGTCATGCATACTTCACTCAGTGATTTTTCCCAGTGGAAATCCAAACCACTGGTGCTCTGGTGCAGGGACTGAGAATGTTCTTAGCTGGGTGTTGGTTAGCGAAAGCTAAGCTCTGTGGTCAGTGGGCAAACACTGGCAGCACAAAATACCATACACAGACGGACACCAACAGGCTGCTTCACTGTGCATACTGAGGACTGAACATATTCTGAAGCATAAAGTAAGCTCCTCACCCCAAGACATTGCAGTTTATCCCAAATGAACATTAGCATCAAAACTCTGATCTAGTTGAGCTGACAAAGGCTTTGCCCTCAGCCTGGTGCCCTCTTCTCACCTGAGCAACTCTTTCTCCTTTTCCAGAGCATTGAGCATGTTCACAGAGGAGGACTGCTGAAGACAGTAGGTCTGAAAGGCTGGCAACATGTTGACGAACTCTAGAAATATTTCGCCGATGCACACGGTCATCAGGTCATCGTCCCCCTGCAAGCATGCAATACAGCCCCTGCTGGGTTAGCTCAGGAGAAGCACAAGCACAGAGCCTGCATTCAGTCCTATCACTACAAACCTGCTGTAGGATCTGGTGAGCAAACAACTGGGCTCACCCTGTTGGAGGAAAGGCAGTCCCTGCATGGCGGAGAGCAAGTGGCACATGGGGAGGTAAAGGGAAGCTGCTCTAACTGCGTGCTCTTCTACATGTAAAGAAATGTCTTCTCTGCTTCTGTGGGCTCAGCCAGCTCAACAGACCAGGGCCTAAAGGCCAGAGTCAGCCTTCTAGTCAGGAGGGCTTTAAGGGGCCTTCTTGCTGGCAGGTCTGCCATAAGACTAATGCAGCAGTGCATAAATTAACAGAGAAAGTTTAGGCTCAAATGGGCAGGGAGGCATGTAACTCAGGGAACAGACATGGCAGTTAGCAACTTCCGCATTTGCTCTGAGCAGCTGGGCTGGCTGGGAAGCAGGATCTCCATCAGTTGCACTCCTACTGGCTACTTTGATGCTTAATTGAAAAACAAATTTCATAGTAAATTGATCTTTGATTTCCAGACTAATCAGAAATATAAGCATCTTGTGCCACATGCTTTTATCTTTGTCTACGTGCATGCCGATACGCTCTGCAATTACTACTCATTTCAGCAGCAAGAGAGGGAGCAATTCTCTGCTGGCAGCTTTTTGATGCAGTACTGAGCTCTGACTGCAAAGGGCAACATGGAGGAGAAACAGGGAAATCCACAGCTCTGTAGAAGCCATTGTCTCGAGAAATTATGCACAGAGGACAACTGCAGTGCATATCTGACTTCAGTGTGCCAGGTGCGTGAGAGAGGCCGTCAGTTTCTGAGACACGTCGCTCAGTTTGATGTTTCAGAGAGGGAGAAGAAGGATGTGTTTCCTAGAGAGCAAATGTCCTGGTGAAACTGACAAAGCAATGAGTGGGGCTTGGTTCCTCAAAGAAAGGATGGTGTGAAGCTGTTTATTTGTCCTCTACAGCATCTGCTGTTCTAGAAACTTATTTATATTTCTCTGCCCTCTACCCACTATACTGATGGGATAGGAGAATTCTTTGTGCAAAGCAGAGTGAATCAGTAGAAGCAACTGGTATGCAAAGCTGTAAGTAGGTACAAGTTGTTATCAGAGCAGGGAGCAGCCTGTGCTGTCTGGCCCTGCAACCAGCCTAGAGGCAAGCTGCAATAAACTGCAACCTCACACCAGCTCAGGATTGGGTGAGCATGTGGCCTGCAAGCTCGGTCCTCTTATGCTGGCCAGACCAAACTGAGCTCTGTGACCCTGTGGTCACACTCTTAAAAGTGTTCAAGCTATCTGGCTTAAAGCTAACTATAGTAATGGGGCAATTAGGTCCTTAATGGGATAAATGGCTGACGACTTGCTGGGCAGCCCAGTCTGGTGGTTGGCAACCCTGCACATAGCAGGGGGTTGAAACTCGATGATCATTGTGGTCCTTTTCAACCCAGGCTATTCTATGATTCTATGATTACCGTAGCAGTGAGGCCAGCAGCTGTGATTTGGCACAGACCTCCTGCAATCACTGGTTTACAATAACTGAGGGAGCAACGGACTAGGGAGATGACCAGAACCCGTGATCCTACCTCCCAATCCCCCTACTCCAGCTGTGCTGCCTCACTAACACAAAACCTATTCCTGTCTGCCCAGTTCAGCGCACAGGCATCATACCTGATCAAAGGCCTGATCGATCTCTTCCTGAAGTATTTCCAGGAAGCTTTCATTGAGATCAATGAGCTCCTGAATATTGCTGAAGATGCCAAGAAGCTGCTCCTGACTCAGCAGCCCAGCTGCCTGCATGGGGAGATAGAACTCCTCTTTGATGATGCGCAGGTCCTCCCCATAGCTGGCCTCCGTGTTGACGAACTCCAGCACGGATTCCTTGCGCTCCGTCCTGCGCTTGCGGCACTTCTCACAGAGGTCAGCCCGCCTCTGATTGCAGTTCTGCATATCTGTCTCTACTGGGAGGTCCCTTTCTCCACAGTCGGTACAGGGCCGGTGGGCTTCCCAGGCCTGCAGGGAGCTCAGTGTTTCGGATGCCCTGTTCCTCCACTTCCTGGCTGACATCTGGCTAATGCCACTGTCTGCCCTCTCCACCTCTGCAGACTTGGTCCGGGTGGCCTCACTGGGATCCAGGTCATCACGGACATCGTTCACACCCACGATGCCGCTGTCGGTGCTCAGGCTGCTGATGTTGCTCCAGTGATGTCTGGAACGGAGGGAGCCACGTGGGGCACGGCGAGTCTCGTCAAAGCTGCTGCCATGACCAAGGTTGGCTTTTGCTACCACTGGACCTGAGAACAGACACAAATCATTACAGGCACTGTCAGCTGAACAGAGCTCACCTGGGGAACTCAAATTGGCACAGCCACCCCGGTGGGGAGATCTGATGAAAGCAGGGCTGTTGGCTGTCTACCCTCCTGTTGTGCTGCTGGAAAGTTAGGGAGTGGGGGATCAGAAGTAATTGGCTCCCAGGTGAAGCCTGTCTTCCCTGCACTGCCTCTACCTGTGAACTTGTTTGGCCTCTCTCTCCCGTGCCATCTGCCAGACAGGGACAGAGACACAGCAGGATAGATCCTGATTTCTCGCATATCAAGGTTAAATCTGGAATGCTTCCCTCCCCAGGTCAGTAGAGTTGCACTGTATTTACACTAGAATAGCAGGTCTGAGCATCTGGCCCACCACAGAGTGCAGACTGTGCGTACCGTAGTCTCGCTCCTGCCGGCGTTTCTGTGCATGCTGCCGTGCTGCCGCTGCGATCTTCAGCTCCAGCTGCTTCCTCTTCACTGAGTCTGTTGGCATGGGGTCACTGAAATGCGGCCGCAGCCTGCACTCCCTCTGGGCCTTGGCACCATCCGTGCTCTCATGGACGATGTCAGAGCTGGATCGGCGGCAGCTGGGACTGGAGGTCTGCAAGAAAGGCAAGCGGGGTTGGAGCAAGGCAGCGGTCAAAGCAATGCCTGGTTTGCAGCCACTGGATTTCAGATGCCAAAGGAGGAAAAAGGCAATTCATTAGCCATGTGGTTTGAAATGCAGCTCTTCGACACAATCAGTTTGGGATGTTCTATGATTCTATAATCACAAAACCCAGGTCCTTCTGTCTTGCTTGGTTCCAACAGCAAGAACTCCTCTCCCCCGTGGCTCTGTAGCTGTCAGTACAGTGGCTCAGTGGTGGCTGGGCCACAGCTGTCGAATAAGCATGGAGAAGTGAACAACATAGCCCTGGCTAAGGCTCTAAAAGTGGCAACTGCACCAGTCCTCCAGGGATCTAACTTTGCTTCCCTCTGATCCGTGAATATTTCAGAGCTGCTGGCCCAGGCCTTTAAGCCTCACCTACATTAATGGATTGACAAATGGGGACAAGAGAAGGACCTGGCTGATCTCCCGGGCAGTGCAGCAATGAAGGGGTGGCGGCATGGTGAAAGCCACAGGGGGATTATTGCTGAGCTCCCTTCAGAGGCAGATAGACAAGGGCATACAGCTGGCTCCCATTTCCTTAAGTGTAATAAAATAGGCACTAGAAGTCCTTCTGATAAATCGATCATGTGATCTCAGATGCCAAGCTGCCCAGCTTCTGCAACAAAGAGATCTTTCAGCACTTCTGACAAGAAAAAGTCCAAAACAAACATACAAAATGAGAGGTGAATTCCTCTGCCTTACATTCCCTGCAGGTTGAGTATCACTCGATTTCTCATTGCTTGTCTTATCCTCCCAGCTCTCTGTTGCCATGGACATTGCTGTGGCTTGCTGGCTGTCCTCTGGAGGTGGGCGATCGTCTTCCTTCAGATCACACTGTCCCTCAGAGGGGGATTTGGCAGCAGTCTCAGCATTGCAGCTGCAGGGAAAGAAGCAAATTCTGATGAATATCACGTCTGCAACTTACCTGCCATTCCTGACCCAGATGAGACTGAGCAGAAAGCCACAGTCTGATCAGCCCAGCCACAACAATTCATGGAAAGTTCAGGCAGGAATCTAGTCTTGTTGGCATAGATTTCTGTGTCTGTGTTTCAGGGGCTCTAAACACAGCTCTGTTATAGCAGTGCAAATGGGTAATTGCACTCATACCAGCATCAGCCTGGGATATCAAGTCTCAGGTGTTCACAGCACTATTTTGTGTTCATAAAGCATGAGGTTTACCCACTGGGACCAGAAAAACCTCCTTCTAAGTAGGCTATATCCATTTTTCCAGCTATTTAAAAAGATGCTGTCAACAGAGAAGCTGTATTGCTCACATGGAAGAAAATCAACTGCAAGAAGTCACAATACTTTGAAGAGATTAAAGGATTAAAGGAGCTCTCCCTCTGTTCTTCATCTCATATGATCCCAAACTCACAGAAACCACTGGAAAGGTTCCCTCTGCTTTCAGGGAGCTCGTGATCAGGACCTTCGGTGCACTGAAGAGCCCTGAAATAACCGGCAGCCTGCGAGTCTCACTTGGCAGTTCTGGGGTGCTCTTAAGTCACAGCTGTCTGCTGGTAACATGGGCCTGGCCTGGCTGATACAGGCAGCCTGTTCCAACCTCACGCTCCTCTCCTTGTAGATAACACCCCTCCATACAGACATGGCCTGGTGCAAAACCACTGACTTGACACAGTTGACAGGCTGCAGTTTGTGACACATCCTGTAACCTTTCTTTTTTTAACAGGCTCTAAGACACTTTTCTTGCATGCATAATGAAGCCTGCTTGGAATAATTTATTTTTTTTTTTCATTTTGGGGTTACTTAGGGCTTGGATTCTGTTAAGAAGGGTTGTCAGGACAGAATATGGATGTTTGTGTATAGTGGAAGCCAGTGTCTGGAAATATTTAAGGTTATGAATGTACTTTATGCTTAACAAACATCTTCTATGATAAAATCTGCTTCTTTTTAAATGCTTCACTTGTGAACTGATGCTGGTAGGTCATACTGCTAATGCACAATTCCAACACTGCCAGCTACAAGCAAACACATGAGACAGATGGGCATTTTCTTTACGATGATTGACAGTTGGCTCTGACAACAAACCATCAGCCAATACTGAAATCACTGAAGAGGGAACAAATCTCCCAGAACACAAACTGGCTCTTGTTGTCAGGCCAAAAAAGTTGGCCTGCAACTTTGCAGCTGATGCTTGTTCATCTTCCTCCATCAGTACTTCCAGCTCCCAGCTGACACCACCAGATTTACCAAATTAAAAAGAGTTGAGCTGTGGGTGTGCAGCAGTGGCACAGTGTAACAGCAGACTCCTGGCTTTTGCTTTTGCTGTGCTAATGCCCTGCTCTGTGGATTTGGAAGTGCCATTTTGGCCCTCCTGGCCTGTAGGAAGGAGAGGCCAAAACCCACACTGCCCTGGAGCAGTCTGTGTATCTGTGTTAGAACACTACAGGCACACAGCAGTGCTGTGGTCCCCTGGTACTGGCCTGGTCCTGTCTCTTTCCTCTCTCCTGTCCCCAGCCATGTGGCAGTATCACTCCTTCAGCACTGTATGTGGCCATGATCTGGATTCTAGAATAATTCTTTGAAACCACCTGCGTTTGAAATATATCCTACCTCATATTCCCATCCAGAGCATCTCGACGATATTTCACTGATTTGGGTAAAATACCAAGAGCTGAGCAGGGCACACCTGAAGGAGGGATGTCAGAGGTTGGGGGCATAAGAAACTCTTGATGAGGATCTGCCACAGCCAAAAAACAAGTTTCCAAAACTTGTTCCTGCTCAGAATAGCTATATATACAAAAGGAAAGGAGTATGCTGAGGCACGCAGAGGCAACGGGGTGTATCTGAGCTTAGTAGCAAAACTGGAATATTATCTTCTCTTGATCGTGACACCTTCAACCACATACACTGCGCTCTCAGGAAGAAGCTGCACTTTCCTTTGTAATTTTTACAGCAGTTTGGTGAGCTGCAGCCCAAGCTAGATGTTGCTTCTTTCCTATCCCTGCTCTCAGCCCTCCCGTCCCTTTCCTGTACGTTTCCTCCTGCAGCTGTACCTCCCCAGCTGGACCATCACTGCTGCCAGCTTTGCTCTTTACAGACTGCAATAATCTCTGCTGATTCACGCTGTAAGACTGAGCTGAGCACGCTGCTTTTTCACACCGCTCACATCACCTAGACAGTGGTGTAAACTGAGTTTAGAGAATCCTTTCTTTTACACCCCTGGGATTATTAATCTTCTCATTTTTTCTCCTTTCACGATGTTCTCCCAACACCTTACTATGCTCCCTGTGTACTGTTCCTTCCTTGTGCTCTGCCCTCCTAAGAGAGGGAGGGAGCTCAGCCAGGTGCAGCTAACCAATGGCTGTAAGCACGATGGCGTGGCTCATGAGGATCTAGCTGCCAGGGCTCTGAAATTGGCATTCTGAAACTTTTTTGCCTCCTGTCCCTTGCGATAGCATAAGAATAGTTGTATACACGTTGTATTGAACCCTCTGGGCTCTCTGGCATGTCTCCTTTTTGCACATCCTTATTCCAAGGTTCAGAAAGTGGACAATCTATAGAAATGCCTACAGAATTTCTGCCTAGATCTCAACACCTCTCTGCTAAAAACATTCAGCCAATTAAAAGAGTCTTTAACAAAAATGTATAAATTAACAGGAACTTACTTACCAGACACTTACCAGACAAAGCTGATCTGCAAAACTGTAGCACTTACCATCAGAAAGAGAAAAACAATCACAAAACCATCAGAAAGAGAAAAGAATTTTAGCTGTCTTATTCTGTAACGTTCCATCACAACATCTCTGTCAAAGGCTTGCTGAGCCCTATATCTGAAAATAGGACCAAATCCCCAGCTTTCAGCATCTTTCATGTAAGACTTAGGAAAAAATGTAGCCCAATCATCACAATATAGGACGCAAAGGACAAGAAGTCTCCTACCTCTGCAGTGAGAATCAGCTTAGGTTATAAACAAATATTCAGCTCTTAAAGTCTCAGGTGAAAATGATGGAAAATGGAGACTTTTCCAGCCAAAGGAAACTAACGTTTCCCACTAAACACTACCTTGGCAATGCCAACAGATGAGTTCCCTCCTGCTATCCTGAACAAATAACAGCCTTTACCACTAACTGTTGTTACTATCTAAAATGAATAGGTCAGAGTTGTTCACTGACATGAAACAATCTTTCTAATACTGCCATTCACATTTTCAGATGAATTCCCGTTCTGGTGATTACAAAATCATATCATGTATTTTAACAAACCCAACTAGGGAGACCGAATACGTTCACAGAGACAAAGGCTACCAGGATATTAAAAGCACAGAAACTGCACTGAAATCATAAAAGCCCTGAGCAGAAAGTATTTGGAAGCAGAGAGGCCACGTGCACTACCCAGTTCCTGTATACCTTGCTATGCATGCACCTGAGGCTCTGGATACTTAGTCAACCTTTGATCTGCCCAGACAGCTGTTCTTATGCTGTTACTCATAGCTTGTGCCATTCTGTGTATTTCATTTCACATCGAAGATAAAAATAGCCTACTCAATGAAAATGGTTGCACACCACAGCTTTTTTTGGTCTATTTCCTCATCAGGCTTTCATACTCCAGCACAAAGGCTAAGCTGGACAGCTGAAGGAAGCTTTGGATTACGGAGTTGCCAAAGTATCTCTGCTCATCACTCTGGTTTCGTTTACAGGAGCAGCTACAGCTCCATAGAGGCTATTTCAGATGACTCTCATTCCTGTGCAGAAGTCACCATCATCTCTAATACTGAAGAGTCCAGTCTCAGAGCTCTAGCATTCCACAGATACGAGTCCAGTGTTCAAGGCTGATGCCCAGGCATTTCAACACTGCGTCTGCAGATGCTGGAAGCAGCCAGGAAGCCAGTCAAATGTAATTCTTGGCAAAGCCAGTCCAGAAGCCAGAGTTATGAAACAAGCCACTCCACCAGCACTCCTTCTCTTCCCATCAGCCTGCGCTCACAGTGACACTGCCCGGTGTTCCTAACTTCCAGAACTTTGCTGATTCCTGCTGTGCCACTTGCCTGCACGGGAAAATTTCCATTTCTTTCAGAGGAAGGAAGGTAGCAGGATTGCAGCGTCCAAAACCAGGACAGAGAAAGCAGTTCTTGTGAGCATCTTACCCAGAGAGAGGAGTAAAGCAACTGAGAAGGAGGAAGGTTTTGCACAATTATTTTGCTCACAGTGCTGGTGTTGGCAGAGGGACAGTAGGTACTTTCACTTGCTGGCTCTGCTGATCTCCGGAGGGTTGTAAAAGACTCACAGAAGTCATCCTACTCTCAGTTGTTTGCCAGTTCACTACACAAAGACAGTAAGTGAAAGCCCTTTTTGTTGCACATCACACTACCTGAATTAATGTTCTGCAATGACAGGACAGACTTTACATCTTTTTTTCCAAAAGGATTGTGTGAATGTTTTTTCTCTCTCTGTTGTTTTATACTTTTAACAAATATTTCAGGGAAGAAAAAAAAAAAAAAAGGCCTGTCAATGATTTACTACAGAAATAAAATGAGTGGGAAATTGAGCACCAAAACTACTAATAACTGCCTGGACAGGATTAAGGGACTAAGGTGCACAAAATGAATTCTTTTTTATTCTTACCCCCAAACAAAGATGGATTTTAAGCTCAGTGGCTTAAAGATGCGTCAACATACTGCAGAGACCTCAAGACAAAAGTTTCTGTCAACAGCATATTTATGCTACAGGAGTTAAATGCACATATCAGGAGAGAGACCAGATAGCTAACAAAGGAACTACTTTCAGGTGACACCACAGAGCATGTTACCTTTTCTTAATAAGTTCCAGGGCTGAACCTATGAATTCATCCTTCATTTTTTGTAGCTTAGCTCCATAGCTTGACAAGTCTGTGCCTTCTAACAGCAGCGATGGACAGCAA